TTACGTCGACGACGCTCACTGGGGGTGTGTACAGACTCCGGAGGGGCTCCTACAGCCCAAGCGCAAATAAGCCATCTCGTGGCACCAACCAGGCCCTCGGCCCCAATATCATATAGTACTACTGCGGCGTGCAGCCCGAGCCATCCATAAATCCAGAAATCACAATAAGCCCCTCGGGCACTTTTAAATCAGTAATCCACAGCCCAAAATATCTTTTAAAATATCATTTGAATTTTCAAGTTTAGAAAAAAAGGGGCTGAGTTTGCAAAAATAGTACTTAAAACCTTGGAATGAGGTTAAACAATGTGCAAAGTATGCAAATCAGTGAAATCAATCCCTGAAGGATCCAAATAATCGGCACGAAGCCCAAATACAACAGTCAAATCCAAATAACGATGATTTCCAACAAGTTCTAGCAGAAAAACACAGTAAAACATCACCGGGACGGACCAAGTCACAATCCCCAATAACCAACAGCCCCGCACTCATCATAGAGCGCGTGCCTCGCCTCAATATAGCGGTACGATGTGAAATTCCGGGGTCTCAAACCCTCAGTACATCATTTACACCCATTACTCACCTCAAGCCGGCCTAAAGTCTAGCTCGCTATGCCTTTTCCTCTCGAATTGACCTCCTCGCGCGTCAAATGTGATCAAGACCACAAGGAATACATTACAATAGGCTAAGGGGATATAACCGAATCGAAAAGACTCGAAAAACATCGAAAATCACGAAGTTGGCAAAACTCGAGCCCCGGGCCCACTTTTCGCAAAATTATAAAATTCACATCATCGGATTCCTCGTCTCGCCACGAGTCCATGCATATCACATTTATCAAAATCGGAGTCCATTTGACCTTCCAAATTCCGTTTCAAAATTACAAATTCTCAAACCCTAGCTTTACCCCCTTTTTGATGAATTTCAACCAATTTCCATGTTAAATTTAGCATAATTTCATGTATTTGGGTCAAGGGACTTACCTCCAATCACACCTAGTCGAAATCCTCCTTCAAATCCGTCCAATAGCTCTCAAGCTTGTGTAAAAATGGTGGAAATAACTTAACCCTCGCGGATGAAAATGATATTATAAAACCCCTTCTGCCTACAGCGATTTTCGCTTATGCGGTCCCGCTTCCGCATATGCGGGACCGCTTCTGCGGCCACTTCCCCGCTTATGCGGTTTCTCACATAACTTACCACTTCCGCCTTTGCGACATATTCTCCGCTTCTGCGGATTACCCAAGACCGCTTCTGCGGTTATTCACTCGCACCTGCAGACCCGCTGATGCGAAAAGGGGTCCGCTTATGCGGAACTCATCAATTAAACACAAGATCGCTCCTGCGCTTTTCCACCCGCTTCTGCGGAGCCGCTTAATTATTTGATTGCTTGATCACCAATTGAATACTATCTACGAATCTAGGATTGAACTCGGGAGAGAGAATTCTAGATTGCATATAAGATTGAGTAGAGCAAGATCTTAACTCTTAGGGGGAGAGGATTTGCGGTTAGGATAGGAATATACCTAATCACCTTGCTTGGTTATTATACGAGAATTATAAATGCGTTCTTGTTAATCCTAATTCCATAGGACTATAGGCGTTAGGTTAGCTTGAATAGGCGAGTTGTACTTCGGGAGAAGGATACGAGCAATATTAACCCTGTCAACCAATAAACCAGATAAATTAATTAGGCGATTTAGGTAGAAAACTCAACGGGATTGTTAGCTAACCCATAGCTCTAGAATATTCACTCACATTGAATTCGTCTCTATAATTCACCATCTTGTTTTCTTTAATCTCTTAGTTTACTACTCTAAATTATCTTTAGTTAAATATTCATACGTTAGGATTCGCTTGAATAGATTAATTGTTTGGTTTAATTTAGTTGATACTTAATCACAAGTCCCTGTGGGTACGATATCTGGACTTATAATCCTATATTACTTGTAGACCGCGTATACTTGCGTGTGCGTTTGGGAGCAACATCGTACGCCCTCGGCATAATTCTTGCATAATAATACTTGGAGCCCAATTATATTTGTTATTGTTTCATTGGCTTGAGAGGTTAAATGATTAAATGATGGAAATTGATTTGGGACTCACTATCACTGAAAGAATTATTTATTTATTTCTTGTTACTGAGTTTTATTATCATTTATATACCCCATGCTTATTTAGAATTTCAGTATTTTTTTTAGCCTATAGTAAGTGTCGAAGTCAACCCCTCGTCCCTACTTCTTCGAGGTTAGACTAGATACTTACTGGGTACACGTTGTTTATGTACTCACGCTACACTTCTGCACTACTCGTGCAGGATCTGAGGCGGGTGTATCTGATTATCATCCCGGCGCGCACTCCTGATTTCTCCGACACTTCGTGGTGAGCTGCCTTCTGAGCCCGTTCCGCAGCACCTGAAGTCTTTCTGTTGCATTTATTTTCTCTTCATTTCAGACAGTAGTTTAGTATTCTATTGTATATTCTACTAGTAGCTCATACAACTGTGACACCAGGTCTTGAAAATTATACTAGTAGATGAATGATAATTTTAGATGTTTACTTATCTCACTTGCTCTTAAACCTATTTGTCTCTCATTTTATTATATTCTTACTTCTTATTTAGGCACAAATTAAAAATCAGTTATTTCTAAAATATTAAAAGAAACAATCATGTTGTTAGTTCACTGTTGGCTTGCCTAGCAGTAACTTTGGGCGCCATCACGACCTATATGAGAATTTGGGTTTTGACAGGAATACTTCATAACACCCCCCCCCCCAAACTAAAATTCAGGCGAAGCTCAGCTTTCCGCTCATACGTACCATTATATATCTTGCTTTCATCTTTTCTTTGTTTGCATATATTTTTACCCACTTCCTCTAATTGCAAACATTGGAATTGCTAGACTTTTATAACTGGAACAGGGTGAGGGTGGGTGACTGTGATGGATCATCTTTTACGGGAGATGTCCAAGAAGTTGATCCAGTAAGTAGAACTACTGTCTCATATCCATAAATATCAATGAATTATATCGGTGATTTATCCGCTAACTTTTCTTTCTGATTTGAAATGCTAAATCTATATTAGGAGAACAAGCTTTTCTACTGTCTCATATCCATCTATCTCCACAACAGAAAATACATTTCGCACTTCAACCGTGACATTACAAGCCGTCGATGCACAGTTGATACCGAGTGCTCAGTATAACATGCGAGTGGATGGAAGGAAATAAAAAATATGATAGTACAAGAGGGGAGGGGGGTGAATTGTTGCCTAATTAAAATTTAGTCGACTGATATAGCTATTAGTTGACTAATCTACGAGACAGATGCAGTAAAAGCTGTAAAGAGCAATAGTAAGACACACACGATTTATACTGGTTCAGTACCGTTATGGTACTTACATCTAGTTCCCTTGGGTCACAAGGGTTCCCTTAAGATCTTTGAATAAATTTATACAAATGATGGTATCTTTGTGTATACCATCAGCTTATAGAATCAGCAATTGAGTTCTAATCAAGTGAAGCAATTTTCTTTTGTACTTTAGCTCTCTCTATCTTTTGAGACACTGATAACTTAGGATTACTGTGTTTGAACTAAGAAGTAGACAGATTTGGAATACTCTTTTTGTAGTTGCGTGGTCTTCTTCTTGAGAGGGCTTCCTTTTATACCAGAGAAAAGAGGCGTTAATTCCTTATTGGAAATGGGAGGCATAAGATCTTTGATTAAGGGTTTTGACCCAAGAGATGCCTCTTTGAATCTTGCTCTTTGACTGGCCCAGATTCGGGTGACTTTCCATGTCACGGCTGATTTCAAGGAGAGGTTTAGTGAGCGGATTCTTCGAATCTGGAATGATCAAGGTTTGGTAATCTGAGTTCCCTTGATTGAGACAAACTGCATCTTGATTGGTCATTAATGATTGTAACTGAATCTTCGTTCACTCCTTGGGTCGAGCTGCCTCTTAATGATCATTAGTGCAGTAACTAATTCTTCCTTCTTTCTTCATTTTGAATCCAGTAGCACTCTTGACAATTATCTCCATTCTTTCCTTTTTTGTTTATCCTAAAAATATAACATAAGATAATATTGTCATCATTGAAACTTAGCCTTAAAATCTATCAAATTCTTTAAAAGGAACTCATATAGTATGGCATTGATCAGCCCTCTTCACATCATCATTCAAGAATATTTCACTTCTTGAATAATAATTGATGACCTTTCCATTAAAAGATGATTAGAACTCATAAATTGACGTACATGACATGTGATATATGCTTTTTAGGCATTCATTAATTGTGAAATGAACAATTACATCTGCAGAACATGTGATATGCTTTAAATGATAATTTCAAAAAAAAAATCTGTATATATAATAATTTATTGTGGACAGAAAAAAATTATGTCTGTATGTAAAAGAGTCTATGAGCAAAGCATTATCCAATTGCATGAAATATATAGTAAGAGTACCTACACCACCTATTAGTTCTTACGAAACAACATAATTTAAGCATAAGGGAAAAAAGAACATACCAAAGAAACGTTATATATATATATAT